TGCAGAATAGGCCTTTATATAATGATCCATCTTTTGCATTAAGGTCAAATTTCAAGAACATCTCCAACGTGATAGACGTGTACGGAATAATGTATAATAACGGTAATTGCAATGCTAGTATTCCAGTGGAATTTGGCCGAAACGTTTAACTAATATGAGGCCACAGATGATTGGTATATTCGTATATTTCAAAAGCTCATCCCTGTTACTAAATTACCCACCTGCCTGAACTTAATAACCATAAAGCGACCTCATCTATTTCTTATTAAGTTCAAGTTATAAAGACTCAGAATGACAAAATATTCGCCCTAAATCAAGACAAGAGGGATTGCTTCATATTTCCAATGGTGAACTTTCCCTTTATGTCGATCAATATTCCAGCCACACCGACCTTTTCATTGGCTACATTTTACAACTTTTAATGTACAATTGCCATACCCTTTTACGACACTATGAAACTACCTCAACGGCTATTGCTCAAAAGCTGCTTGAACAGGATAAAACATTCAATGCCACAGTAAAGCTTTCAAAAAGTACTGCTTAAGCGATAAATGATGGAACCAAACTTGACGCTTCAGGGGCCAAAACGATGTTCGATGTAATTCCTTATTTTAACGTGTTGCACTTGTTCCCGTAGTTTTTGGGGTCTGTTAATGTGAACAGGGTGTCATCGGTGGAACAGGATGTGTTCAACGTTCAGTTAATACATATATGACAGGAAGTCATAATACTACAAACGACAAATCCTTTTCCACACCCACCAACAATTTCTGCAGAGTCGAATGTACAATTCCGACTTTATTATGTACATTTGTTACCCGTAAGTAACATGTGTCATTCCCCATATGAGGCACCCGTCAGTCATAAACACGTGCTCGTTACACAGTCGGCCCGTTAAAGAACCGAGCTTTTGTTGTGAAAAACATGAGCTAAACAGGTGATTCCACACTTACATTCTAACAGGTGGTAATACGTAGTTGTCATGGTTTGGAGTCGATGGAAATACATATCCGCCTCAAGAATACAAAAAATAACAGAAAAGTCTCCGTCACAGACAATCTTCACTAGCTAAGTAAAATAGGCAGATAGATACACTTACATTCTAGCTAAGTACAATAGGCAGATAGATACACTTACATTCATGCATTTCAAAACATATATTTAAAAAGATAATCGGATATTACATTTTTATTGCCTGGAGAAATTTGCCCAATGCAGTTTGAATTCCGGGATGCGGCATGTGTCATAGTTAATCCCATCGTGGTCTCAGGCCTCTTTTCCGAATGTCAGCTGGCTGGCGTGTGTTATCCAAACGTCTATAGGCCAGTTATAGTCACACAGCAGAACTAAACACACAACCAGCGGCAGCATAGCACATGTAGCAATCAGTCTAACATTACAGCGTTGTCCTTAACTCCAGTGTTCACAGTCTTGGTTAAATGTGGCATCCCCAGATCTGCTCCGGGACTAATAAGATATGACTTTGTTTCACCAATCAAAACATGTAAAGCTGTAGATCAGGGCCAATATTTCACATGTAATTCTTGGCCTAGAAGGTCTTTACTTTTGTCATGCTTCATAGTTGTCGATGTCATCGTGGGCAGCACCGTTACCGTACATGGCTTAGTTGTCGACATTAATCTGTAACAACTCATTTATATATGCTGTTTCCATATGACCGACAGGTGCTAAATATGTTTGAGTCTCCGAATCTTCAAATATAGGAAATGTCGATGTCTACCATCGGTAATATACATCAACCTTCTGCACTCAACTACTTCCATCCGCGGCAGCATTCATACCTTACTTCCATCCAATGAAATAAGCCTACACTACTTGTATTCAAAGCAACATTCATACACTACTTGCATCTAAGGGAACATTCCTGTACTTTTTGTATTCAAAGCAACACTTATGCACAACTTGTATTCAAAGCCAACATTCATACACTACTTGCATCTAAGGGAACATTCCTGTACTATTTGTATTCAAAGCAACAATTCTGCACTACTTTTATTCAAAAGCAACATACCTACACTACTTGTAGTTAAAGCCAAATTTCAGACACTACTTAATTCAACGGCAACATTCCTACACTACTTGTAGTTAAAGCCAACTTTCAGACACTACTTAATTCAACGGCAACATACCTACACTACTTGTAGTTAAAGCCAACTTTCAGACACTACTTAATTCCACGGCAACATTCCTACACTAATTGTAATTAAAGCTAACTTTCAGACACTACTTAATTCAATGGCAACATACCTACACTACTTGTAGTTAAAGCCATCTTTCAGACACTACTTAATTCCACGGCAACATTCCTACACAACTCACTTTAAAGGCGACATTCCTACAATGCTCATGTAAGGCAACATTCCTACACTACATCCATTCACGACAAAATTCATACACTACTTCCAGCCAGCAGAACAATCTTTCATGACTTGTATTCAAAGGCAGTATTTACACCCTACTTCCATTCACAGCAACGATCCTACACTTATTCCATTTAAGCCAACATTGATACACTAGTTCCATCCACTGCAACAATCCTACACTACTCTCATTAACGGCAGCATTCACACGTACACTACTGCTCTTCAAAGGCAACATTCCTACACTGCTTCAATCAATAACAACATTTAAACATTCAAAGGCAACACTCCTTCTCTCTACTTCCATCATATGCAACATCCCTTCACTCCTTTCATTCTAGGCACCATTCCTTCACTTCTTCCATCATAGGCAACTTCCCGCCATTATCCCCGGCAACACTTCAATACCCGGCAACATTCCCTCATTTCTTCCCATCAACGGAAACGTTCACACAGTACTTCTATTCATATTCATTCCGTCCTTGGCATCATTCTTTCCTACTTTCGTCAAGGGCAAAAATTACACCCTTGGATTCGTGTTCAGCAGTAACATTTACACTCTGCTTACGTCCATGAACAGATTCTACTACGTGAACATTCATACATACCCTTCTTCCATTCATAGCTAAATTCATATGGTATTTCCATTAAAGGTTTCATTTAAACACTGGCTTCCAATGTCAATTATGCAATTTATGCTGTTGCATTACCGCACAGCTCAAACCTTTCCATTTATTGTCTTACATTGCCCTCACATCCATCCAGTACGACATTATATTTCTATCAACAGCTGCAGCATTTCAACCCTCATTTGCTTACATTACGCATATTTATCAAGAGAAAGCCTGGTCCTTATGACCGTGCTTCTGCAAATGAAACCAACAGAAGGTTGTGTTAGGATACGTTTGAGCATGTATAGCAGTATCTGTGTATTTGTAACACATTTATATTTACGACAACCAAAACACGAGTCAATTACATAACATCATCCAAGTAAATAACAGAATACAACACGTACCCACTCTCGCCTGGTAGCAATACATTAACAACTACAGTATTGGTTTAAGCGTTTCCCTTTGCAGATGACTTCGTACTCAATTTTACACTTAAAGTGCTGTACATGGTGAAAACATGCTACATTGTCATAGAATCTGCAACTGATTCATACCATGGTTCGTCCTTAATCAAATAACTATTAATGCGTGAGTCGTTACCCGGGGCTGTGGTAATCATTGCGAAACATATTTGCCATGTAGTCACACGAAGCATGAGCCAAATACCTCTATACTAAGTAAATATTTTACATAAATTTTGCGAGTTTCCAAGCTATCAAATTACTACATATCTCCATCGCATTGATTATATTGCCGGATGGAGTCATGGTGGAACGATCATTAATTGTTTTCATTTCCTCAACAAAGTGAGAAAACTGTATGCTTTCTCAGAAAATATTGGTCACCGTGAAAGGACCACGACAAAGTGACATATAATGGCTTTGGACATGGATAACCACATCTGATCCAACCTCAGGAAATAACATCAGGCCATATCAACCTTTCTCGACAAAGTATGCTTGGGTTTAAAACACTTGGTCCCTGAGTAGGTGGTGGGCATATTGCTAAGGTGTCCAATCATAACGTCAAACAAGCGCCACCGTTGTAGTCCCTACTGACGGCCTATCTAAAAGACCGCTGCTATTGTCCTGATTGATTTCTCATCGTCAACCATGGCTCTCTTTTGTCAGCCTTAACGATCACAGTAAACATGCTTCTTACTCGCTCGAAGTTTGCTGACAATATGACCAGCCTAATACCCTAGTCCGGTCGTCTTCTTGCAAAGGTTGAAGTTGATCTATCTTCCTATTCAGCGTGTGTCGAAGCGAGGGTGGGTTCTTTGACGAAAAGCACGTTCGCGATCAGTCGATTCCGGTCTTCTGGTGTCGTTTACATCCAAATGGAGATGGGTGTCTGATGCCGTGTTTAAACGTAGTGTAATCGAATAATCCGTCCACACCCTAGTGTCGCAATTCGCTGGAGACGTGTTTACGTTTAACAGCGACTACCTGAGCGCGGTGGATCGTTTAACGCAGTGTGTGACGCATCTGAAGGCCATAGTTAAGAAGTACACGACCGCAGACAAAGACTCTCGGTAACATCAAGAACACTGACGTTGATGGAACAGCATCATGTGAAATATATTTTCGTAAAACTAAAGCAGCATTCGTCTGGTGCATCTTGTCAGGCTGTTCTCCATCTTCTGTATTTACTTCGTCTCTGTTGTTATACGGATATCTTACGGACAGTATTGATAATTACTACTCTCTACCAATGATAATATTTGATTTCCTAAGCACCTAATAATGCTGAGCGGTAGAGATGAGTTTTAAAGGGAGACTTGAAAACATCTTCGGATTTGGTTTTTCTTAACTCAGATGATAGAGAGCTCTATAATTAGGGACTGCAAAGGAAGGAGGTTAGGTCAGCCATTAAAGAAGTAGACAGAGGACGATTAAATAGAACCCCAGTATTTTCAATACTGATTTACTTGTTGGCAATATTTAACTGTCATCGTAGATATGGGCCCAGTTTAACGGTCTGGTTTCCCTTTCTATGTGCGCGTTCATACATTTTCTTCATTTGTCTATCCGTTGCTAGCTTCAAATAGATGAAACAGCGCTTTAATACGCCTAACGCAACTTTTACTCACTATCCGTTGCGACAGCACTTTAAGACATTATCAAAGGTATATTCTGCACAATATAGACAACACAAAGTTTCAATATATCGATCAATGTCACTGATTCAACATCCCTTATGTCACTCTCTTAACTATCCTAGAGTATGACCTAGAGTTTGGGATTCGTTTCGCAGAAATAGTGAGGACTCAGCGAGAATGTGTTACTTCAGCAGATAAACAGAACTGTTATTTCAATCAACAAAAGAGTACCCTGCGACCGGGGTTAACTGAATTTGGTATCGGAATGGCAAGGTGGGCTTTCAATAAATATAAACAGGAACACCCTGCCTCTTCACGACACTGTCTAGTATTTGTACATATCACAGTGACGAAATGTGGGAAGGAAGCTGTTACAAGTCTCCATAACAGGACCACACTGCCGAATACTACTGCTTTCTCTGGTAAAAACATAACCATGGAGTCACCCATTCATTATTTCAGCAAGTGTGCTGGGTGCTCACATTTGTGATTTCAGCAAGCGTGTTGGGTTCCCTCATTGATTATTTTAACAATTGGGATGGGGTCACACATTCATTATTTCAACAAGTGTGATGGGGTCACACACTTATTATTTCACCAAGTGCGATGGGTCACACATTCATTATTTCAACAATTGGGATGGGGTCACACATTCATTATTTCAACAAGTGGGATGGGGTTACACATTCAAACCTTAATAATTTCAACAAGTTGGTTTGGGTTACACATTCCTTATTTCAATTATTGTCCTCCTGAGAGGGTACGTAAGTCCCGAAACTTTCAAAGTTAAATTTAAGCTTACTAGATTTTTAAACGTAGTATATTTGTTCCTTTAAAATTCGACTAAACTTTTCCTACAATCGCCAGCGGCTGAAAGGATGATGTAAATCCAACTAAGGTCCATGTAGGTACCAAAGGCACTGTAAGTCCCCATCAACAGCCTGTTTTTATATTGTATCGTCCTCTATAGCTAAAGTAATTTAGATTTGATTACTATAAAAGGTCTAGTTGGTCCTTTGTCGACAGCTATTTAAATTGATTACCTTGTTTTCATTCGCTATATGGCTGTAATATTGCCGATGCGATGTAAAATTTTAACTCACTCACTCACATTCGTTATTTCAACAAGTGCGATGGGCCCATACCTTCATTTTTTCAACTAGTGCAACACATCGAGATTCCTGATCCACTGCATGTATTTGTATGAGATTCAGTGTCGTAATTTTTGTGTTAATATCCTTATTATAAATATAACATTTTGATCAGCACATTACTTTATTTGTATCATTCAAATGTTGAATTTTATATGTACATCTTCCAAAAGTATACCTTGCACATTGGTACTTAGTAATAAACTGCAATTACCAATTATGCAACACTGACCTAACACTTGAAAAATATTCATAATTAGTAATTTGGGTCATTCTGCTCTCTCTGTTGGAAAACAATACGTCTGTCCTTCTGCCAACATGTCTACAGGTTTTACTATTTTTAACTCATCTGTTACAGTTTTTTACAATGAACAACACTCTAAACTGTTAAAATATGTTTAAAATGTTTTCATAAAAGTATCATAATTAGTTGCTTAATAGTTGCATTGTATACACATGTGAATACTTTGTGACATATTTAATGTTTCAGAGCGTGAAAGAACTTAGTGTGAAATCAACAAACATGAAAGCTATGTGATGTTATCGACAATTGTATGAAAAAAGGTGGAAAATATTACAAGTGAAGTGTTTGTATGTGTACATGTATATATTAAGACAGTGTAATGGCATTGTACCACTACCACTAGGAGGTCATCTTGAAGTAACTGTTCCTGGACTTAAGTTGTGATCGCATAAGCCGCATAGTGACTGGTGCACAGATGGCATTGTCAGTTCCACTTGCATGGAAAGGCATGGACCCAAAATACGTGAGGTCAAGTGCTCACATTCCTGGATACCAAAATCTCCCAAAATGCTCATAAACCTGAATGCTTCTATTTGTTGCACGTCGACTTTCAGAAAGCTTAATGCAACTCCACCAAGTGTTATTTGTTACTGTCCTAAAACATTCTCGATTTGGATCAAATTAAATTTAAATTTAACGTTTATGACGAAACGAAGTTCAAAATATTATTTTTATTTATTTTGTTTCTGTACATGAAATATATAGATTACAGCAGCTATAAAGTGTAACATGAAAGATAAACTGACAGATTATTTTTCAAAATGCATATGGAACCACTTTGTTGCAGGTCTTATATTTGCAGATAATGAATCTATATTGCTTTACACTGCGCGTAAAATTACAATTACAGAGAAAAAAGTTATGTTCCTGAGGGCTGGAAGTACTGGATTGAGAATATAATCTGAGTACGACAAAAAATAGTAGTATTTCGTAAAGGACTCTTGCCGTAAAGGAGTCTTGAGATGGGCAAAAGGTTGAGGATATAAATCCACATATTGGATGGAAATGTGTTTACTCCTTGAATATTCCCATGTTGTGAGTCCTTGCGGTTCATCAGTTAAGTTTATCTCCTGTCTATTGTCAAGTCAAATAACTTTTATACTATGTACATACATTGCTGTGAAAGCTTTTTGAAGTTGCACAAGTTAACAATAACGCCATTGCTCTTGGTGACGTGCTTCGCGTGATGGTGAGGACCAATTCATTTGGATACAGACACATTACGACATCAATGTTGTGTAATGCTAAGGCTGGTTGGTTTGTTTGTTGTTTAGCGCCGCACTCAGCAATATTCCAGCTACATGGCGGCGGTTAATGCTAAAGGCCACAGTGGTGTTGGATAACTTGGGTTCCATCCACTGGAAATTGTTTGTTTCAATGTGGGATTTGGGGTTGTATCGTTTGGTCCGAATATATGTAAAAATCTTTCAAAACTGTCATGTGATCAAATCTTAATGTTGTAATGCACCTATTGTCTGACCTGCCAATAATTAACAAACACGATATTTGTGGGTTTAGATGCAATAATGTTAGACTGGATTTGGATGAAGGGGCAAGAAATAGCCCAGAAACGTCGTGTTGTAAATATTAAAGAAGTTTTAAATCTATAACATACGTTGTTGTGAATATATTTTACCTTTATAATTACAGTGATATCAGTGGTACAGAGAAACCTATTCCAGATGATAAATATTGTGGACGTCCATATATAATTAATGGCATACTACTAAAAAATCACACAAAAACAACAAGCCGATGTAAATGTTGCAGATGGTGGTATAGCGACTAGTGATTTGAATGCGCTATGCTTTAATATTGAGGTCATATCATCCTCGTTTATCCTAGTGAAATGATCGGTACACAATTTTTTTTTTAAAACTCGGTACAGGCTATTATGCCAGTTTCATACATGCTCCTGATTTAGCCATTATATTAACAACTTTACACATGCAACTTAAACGAGTTTTTGTAGTAACTTCAGACTGCACCCGGTCAACTACAAGAGCATCAATAATGTGTTCAAAGAACCAACAGGAAAGCCTCAAATGTCGCCACAGCTCGCCCACGCTCATCACGCTATTCTGTTGGTATTTCCTGAATACATGATTACTTTAAGGTGAGAATAGAATATTACAAATATTCATGAAAATACGAAGTTTATTTATTCCTACCTGGGGCTGGATGTCCCACTTTTTAGCATAAGATCCCGAGTATAACTTTTGATAGTTGTCTGTACGGGATAGGCAGTGGCGATAGAGCCGACTCAGCTTCAGTATTGGATTTTGTGTTAACTGCCAACAACACACGATATCAAATTGGACAGTGTCAAGATCGTTGTAAAGTTCTAAAATGTCGAGGATGATATGATGACTCCTAGAGACACCTAAAGGCAAGATACTGAATCTGAATAGATGATAAGTTTCATAAGTATTTCTTCATCCATTCTAATGCTGTTGGCATATAAGTTGGCTTGTTTCAGATTTCTTCAAATTAGTTTATGTTAGCTAAACCTCCGGGCTTATTAACTGCCAAGGTGGAGAAGAGAAAATGTGAGTTGGGGCTATATTTTCAAGATATGTTATCAGCTGCAGCAATATCGGACTGTTATCTTATTCCAAGTGTTGGAAGAAGTGATGATATTTCATTGTGGAGTTGTCTATGGAAAGGAATACGAAACACAGTCGAAAGCAGGATTGTACTTACTAGAAGGTAATTTAGCAATATACTGGAAAGATAATATAAGGCGCAGTTTTAGGGACGGCTCATCAGCCTCCACATATGCTTCTGACAAGAATGGGGACCATTATCGACCTTTATCGAGCCAGAACAGGAACTTCGATCGGTTGCACACAGGGTAGATTGTACGGGTGGATAGACAGATGGCAATAAGAATGCAGTTTGCAAGAAGTATCTGTCTTGCTCTCAGTTGGGACACAGAACTGAATCCAGAACCAAAGGATAAGACCGATAATTCTTACTTTCAAAAAGAACATTTATCAGAGATAAAATCTAAGAAAAAATATATAATTGGAATGTCGAAACGGGATATCGGAGAGAGGTGTTGAGACTGCAGATGAGTGTAAGGAGCGTGCGAGTGAGGTGCTCAACAGCAGGTGCGAGACGGGAGACACACCCCTCACTAAATGTCGAGAATGATATCTTCATCCATTATATCGCTGTTGGCATCTAAGTTGGTTTAATTCAGATTTCTTCAAATTAGTTTATGTTAGGTGAACCTCTGATCTGATTAACTGTCATGGTGGAGAAGAGAAAAGATGAGTTGGGGCTATATTTTCAAGATCTGTTTGTGAGGCACTCAACAGCAGGTGCGAGACAGGAGACAAACCCCTCACTGCAGTCCGAATCATTACCGTTCACAGACTGGGGCAGGTCTCGTCATACCAGATACGTTCCCCACGACCCATGATAGCTAAATTCATGTTCATTGATGACAAGGTGT